TCCACCAACTCAAATATTATATTTAGTAACTATTTATATTTTTTTAATATAAAAATAACTTATTATTAAGTGTTAAAACTTATATTACCTTATCCAGTAAGTTTTTGAGCATGCTAGTAACCAAGGTAAGAAAAATCTTTCATCAAATGATAGTATTCCAAATCTATGCAATCATCAATTCCACACATTTTAGATTTTTGATACATTTTGAATGTTATTGCATGTATTAAACTTTGTGTTCCATCCATATTGGAACAAATTATGTATTTATAATATTCAATTTATGAATTTAAGTTTGATTTTATTTCTTTTAATATTTTTTATTTAATGATAATAATCAATATTAAAATAAATTTTAAAAATAAATTTTGTTAATTTAGCGACGTTTATACTTAAAAATGCTGTTACATGCAAAAATATAGCAGTGCTTTCTATTATAAATGCTACTAAATTTAGTAATATTTTTTATTATAAATATTGCTAAATTTAGCATTTAACAATATTTTTAAGAACAAACGCCACTAAATTTAACGGTATTTTATGATAAAAATATCGTTAAATTCAGCATTTAAATTTAACGATTTTTTTTAAAAACACCATTATTTTTTTCGAAGTAGGTATAGTCAATATTCTTAGCGATATTTTTGACAAATACAGTTAATCTTTTAATAAAGTTTATAAATATCGCTAAACATAAAAAATAAGTCACTAAAAACCTAATTTCCTTTAATAGCTTTTATTTATAGGAAAAGAATTAAAGATTCTTCTCAATTCTTTTTCATTTTTATCACTTGGTGTATTTAAAAATTTTTTAAGGATATCATCTATAATATATATATATATGATAAATTTATTAATTACTGACAAAAAAGTATTTAAGAAAAAATTTTAAAGATATTTAGAAAAAATTTAAAATTTTAAAATTTTAAAATATCCATAAAAATTTTAAAATTATTAAAAAATATTCTATAATTTTTTTTTTATTTTAATTTTTTTAAGGTGTCTATAAACAGTCGAATACTAAAAAGTAGATCACCTTTGAGCCGTAATATTTGTAAAAACATGATCTTGGCAAAAGCAAAGAAAAAAAAGGCGAGATAAAATGAAAAGCAGGTGGACAGAAAGGCATAAATTTCCACAAATTGTAACGTAAATTCCCATCCAAATCTTGTTCTGAAATTCATTCCAAGATCTATCAATGTCAAACTCAAATGTCAGCACGCAAGCATCTCTAACTCTAAAAAAGCATATTTTTTGGATGATTGAAGCAGCGTCACTCTCCCATCACTCAAGGCACCGATTTGTGGGCCGCAAATTTCACAACCATTTTCATACCTTTTCTTTTTATTACATAAATACACTAGTATGTAACCTTATTCGTTTAATCAATGTTAGAAAAAACTTTGTTAAGCAATTTTTTCTTCGAATTTTGGGGATATCATTAATTCCTAATTCTTATTTACTAGTTCATTTCAAGAATATAATTTTTCATTTATCATTGACCAAGCCTGAATGGGCTGCGCTGCGCCTGCTTCGGCTCTTGGTGGGATGACAAAGAGCAGCTTGCTTCATTGGACCATTGCTTGATTCGATGATACTTTTTAGGAAGCGTTTGGGTTGAAAAATTATAGATATAAGAGAAAAGTGTAATTTTCAGAAAAATATAATATTTGAAATTTTTTATTTTTAAAGTATCTCATTTTTAGATTAACTTTTTTGATTGAAAAAAATCTACATATGTTAAATCTTAAATAATTATTATAATTTCATTGAAATAATAGTTATAATTTTTTATTTTTATGAGAAGATTATTAAAAATATTTTTGTCAAAATCTTGAGTAATCTTTTTTAATTTTTTATAATAGATTATTTAAAGTATTTTTTATCAAAAACATTTTTAATAATTCCTTCATAAAATTTTATGACATGATTATTTTTAAAGGTATTTTTAATCAAAAATGTCTCGAATAAAAAAATTTTAAATATGGTTATTGAAGGTGTTTCTGACAAAAAATACTTTTTATAATTCCCTCATAAAATTTTATGACGTGATTACTTAAGATTATTTTCACTCAAAAACATCTTGAATAATCTCGAAAAAAAAATTAATGGATTATTTATGGCATTTTTTATCAAAATGTCTTCAATACCGTATTAAAATTTTTTTTGGGATTATTCAAAGCATTTTTTTTTTATCAAAAACGTCTTAAGTAATCACCTCATAAAAATTTATAAAGAAAATTTTGAAAGCATTTTTTGTCAGAAACGTTTTCAATAACTCCTTTAAAAAATTTTTTTTGAGATTATTCAATATGTTTTTTTGTGAAAAATATTTTAAGTAATCACATTATAAAATTTTATGAAGGGACAGAAACGATTTCAATAACTCAATTAATTTTTTTTTATTATTCAAAGCTTTTTTTTTTTATAAAAAATATTTTGAGTCACATTATAAAAATTTATGAGGGAATTATTAAAGGTCTTTTTGATCAAAAATATTTTGAGTAACCCTATTCAAAATGATAACAATTATTTTAAGTATTTTTATTTAGATCAAATTTAAAAAATAATGTTATTGTCTCTTCTAAAATCTTAAAATACTACAAAAAAAAAGATAATTTTTAATTTCGAAATTTTGAATATTATTAAAAATATGTAAGATTTTTTTAAAATTAAGTGATTTTAAATCAAATATTAAAATTAAATATTTAATAATAAAATTTAAAAAAATATTTAAATTCTCTCGAATTAAACGATACTCGATGGTTTGCCGAAAAAGCTCTTGTTTTCTTTTAGGAGTTGATTGATGGCATGGACAGCTAGCCTTTTCTTGTTTATGGTATTATATACCTAATGTTATGAAAAGGACAAGTTCTTTATTAATCTTAACAAATTTATAATTTTTTTAATAAAAAAGCGGATACCATTTTGAAATAAAAAAATAAATAATAAATTTTAAATTTATTAAATATCATCATAATTGGACTAATTAATTAAATAGAATATGAGTTCATTGAAATTGTAATTTTTAAGAATCTGTCCAATACTATTTAAATTAATGCTCATTTGATAATTTTGATAAGCAATTTGGTTGTATTTGAAAAAAAAATAATTTCAAAAAATTTAGCCTGTATTATGCTCTACTTCCATTAATCTGTTTAGCAAGTTGGTCAAAGGGGAGCTGAAATTGCTCCACCAAACCAACAAAAGAATTAGAAAAAAAAAAAAATCCACGTAATACAAGGTCACCGTCCCACGCCAACCACCGCCATCTCCATATCTAAACAGTAGAAATACCAAAGGTCGCGTTCACACTTGCACATGTTATTTTTTCTTTTTTTTATTGTTGTTTTGTACCTGTATTCCCGGTTAGCCTTGATCAGTGGCTAAAACAAATAAAAAATCAATTTAAAATCATAATATTAAGTTTGATTTAAATTTTTTTATTGAATTAATATTAAATTTATATATTAAATTAAAAATTAAAAATTAAAATCAAATCAAATTATATATTTTTATTAAATTATATATAATTTTTATAAAATAAATAATTATTTTATATTTAAATTTATTTAAATATATTAAAAATTATATTAAAATGGCTATAAAAAATAAATTTTAAAAATTCATGAACCAAACTAAATCAATAAAATTTAATTTAAATTGTATTAATTTTAAAAAATCAATTTAAATTCAATTTAAATTTTAAAAATTTATAATATTTTACATTACCTAAAAAAATCAAATCAAATCTTATTGAATTGATTCAACTCGTTATCTGAACTTTTACATTTTTATGCAAAACCATGTTAGCCACAGCCATGGATTTAAAATTTTTTTCAAGTATTATTTATAATATGTAAAAATTATTTGATAAATATTTTCTTCAAATCTCTTATTTTTTAATTTTTAAATATCCATAAATATCTTATTATTTCAATACATGAATCCACCTAACCCCAATTTTTATAAATGTAGAATTCTAATTAATGAAGTTGAGATTTTCAAATTTAATCCTACTTTTTTCCCATGTTTTTTTTTTCCAAAGACATGGGGTTTAGTTAAAAGGTTTTTTTTTTATGTCAACAAGGTTTTGAAATACAATAATAGGTTTCAAAATTTTAGTTTTATTCTTTTTTATCATGTATCTATATTACGTTAAGTGTGATACTTTTTCGGTCATTTTTAAAACTTATTATAGAATAAAAATATTTTAAATTTTATTTAAAAATACATATTTAACATAAATATGATAAGTTTAAGATTTTATTTTAAAAATAAATTTAGCTAAGATATATAATATTTTTCATTATCAATTTAATTAATTTTTACTTAATGACGGATCTGAAATAAATTTTAATATTATTTATTTATAATATATTTAAAAATTTATTTACGAATTATTGATTTATCATCAATAAAAAAACAAAAAAAATTTAAAAATGTACAAAATTTTTTTAAAAAAATTTTTGTTTACCAATTTTTAAAAATATTCATAAACATCTTATCTATACTTATGGATTTGCCTCTATCTTTAGGAATAGATACTATTTTTAATATTATTATATTTTTTTTACTATTATCTATTTCAATGTGATTTTATATTTTATATTAATTAAAGTTTATTTTTCTCAATAAAAAGATTTTAGATTCAAATCTTAAATTATTAATTATTAGATAATCTCAAATATATAATCTATAATTATTTATTTTAAATTATCAAATATAACTTATTTTTTTAATTTAAAAAATTAAACAATTTATCAATATTTTTTTACCAAAAAATTTTAAATATTTAAAGTGTAATTTCATTCACAACTTCGCATGGATGCCACTTGATGTTGAAGCCGTGTAGATAAAATATATAATTGAATTCAATGATTTAAAAATATGACGTATAAAGATAAGGCTTATTGATGTTGATCGATTGCCACCTTACAGTCGCATTGTCTTACGTATGTAATGCGACAAACATTTATAAATTCTAATGTCAATTTGAAACTCCTTGCGTTCACACTGCACCTTTTCACACCATTTTCCTTACACTTTTCGACCCTCCAAAAAAAAAAAAAAACCCAAATTTTTAACAATTTCTTTCCTATTTCGGCTCTTTTTTGTTTCTTTTCTTCGTCCTGGATGAAACTCTCTGCTCTGAAAACCCAAAGAACGATTTTATCTTCTTCACTCTTTCCTCCAAAATGAATAACGGCGACAATTACAAGCGGCGACGAAAGGAGATTTCCGACGAAGATGGTTACGATGACGAAGACGATAGCTGTTCCAGTGATCATGAAACCAAGAAGAAAGATTTGAATGGTATTATCACTTCGTTACTGTTGCTTGAAGAGCAAGAAAAGCGAGACCTTGAAGAGCAAAACGAAGCATCCGATGAAGAGAAATCGATTTTGGAGTCAACTCACAAGAGAAAAACTCGAACCATGTTCGAATTTTACTCCAACCTCCAAGATTACTGCTCCGAAATCGATGAAACCGATCGTATAATGAGGAAGAAGTCCCGCACCATGGCGGCCTCAGTCGCTGCCGTTTCCGTTAACCACATGGAAAACCAATCACCCAACAACCATAACAAACAATCCGGGTCGGGTCAGCAGAGGCGGTTATGGGTGAAGGACAGATCGAATGCTTGGTGGGACGAGTGTAACCAACCCGATTACCCGGAAGAGGAATTCAAGAAGGCGTTTAGGATGAGCAAGTCAACGTTCGATATCATTTGCGAAGAGCTCAACTCCGTTATCGCCAAAGAAGACACCACTCTAAGGAACGCGATCCCCGTTAAGCAAAGAGTGGCGGTTTGCATTTGGCGGTTAGCCACGGGTGAACCGTTACGGCTCGTTTCGAAACGGTTCGGTTTAGGTATATCGACATGTCATAAATTGGTCCTCGAAGTCTGTTCGGCAATTCGCAGTGTTTTGATGCCGAAATATTTACAGTGGCCGGACGAGGATTCGTTGCGGAAAAGAAAAGAAGAGTTCGAGGGCGTTTCGGGGATACCAAACGTGGTCGGATCAATGTATACGACTCATATCCCGATTATAGCACCGAAAATAAGCGTGGCGGCGTACTTCAATAAGAGACATACCGAACGGAACCAGAAAACCTCGTACTCGATAACCGTACAAGGTGTGGTCGATCCTAGGGGAGTTTTCACGGATGTTTGTATTGGGTGGCCAGGTTCGATGGACGATGATCAAGTGTTGGAAAAATCAGCTTTGTGTCAAAGGGCAAATGGGGGATTATTGAAAGGACTTTGGATTGTTGGGAGTTCGGGGTATCCGTTAATGGATTGGGTTTTGGTTCCTTACACACAACAGCATTTGACTTGGACACAACATGCCTTCAATGAAAAGATTGGGGAGATTCAAAGGGTTGCTAAGGAAGCGTTTGGGAGATTGAAAGGGAGATGGTGTTGTTTGCAGAAAAGAACAGAAGGGAAGTTACAGGATTTGCCCGTTGTATTAGGAGCATGTTGTGTTTTGCATAATATTTGTGAAATGAGGAATGAAGGACTTGATCCAGACTTGAAAATTGAGCTGGTTGATGATGAGATGGTCCCTGAAGTTGCTTTGAGATCGGTAAGTTCGATGAAAGCTAGAGATGCTATTGCTCATAACCTTTTACATCATGGTCTTGCTGGCACTGCTTTTCTGTAATTTACAAAACGAAGTTGGAAACTTACTATTTGTTCCTTTTAAAGATTAGAAATTCATTTTTTTGCAATGTAGTATAACATTATTGTACGGATTAATTGAAAATTTGTTTGAAGGGGATGTGTAAAATTATAAATTGTCCCCTCACAGAAATGGAATGGAGTTGCAGTTTGAGTTATAGTGTTAGATTTACATTTACATGAAGATATTTGTATTCCTAGGTTCCATACTTCTTCAATTATGAAATAAAGAATATGAAAGAAATCAAACATCAAAAATATACTTTTAATATTCAGTTTTATACAAGGTTATATGGAAATTCTTTTCCTGTTTTGAATTTTGTTGTGAATTCTGTAGGTGATATTTGTGCTGTGGTTTATAGCTTTAAGCAGCTTTTATGTGTAAAATGTTTCAAGGCTCAGCTGTTCATCTCTGACTATGGGCACATGGATCATTCAGAGAAAGTTACTGGTCATATACAGAAATCTGGACCAGCATTTTCTTTAGATGATTTGGCAGCTTTTTGTTTCTGCATTTTCTTCTGTGTGAAATGCTGTCTGCCTCTCTGTTTCTGTTGGACGACTTTGAAATTGGTGGCAAAAGGGTGGTGTTTATGAATCCTTCTGACATTGAGTCTGTTGAATTAAATCAATGTGAGGGACCTTTGGGTCCATTTCTATTAGTTTTACCTTGGGGCGGTCCCTTTTACTTATATTTGCATGTATCCTCCTCTCAAGATCAGCTCAAAATCAGAATATGATTCAAGTTCTAACACTGAATGTTCCCAACAAGATTCATAGCGCCTTAAACTGATAAGATTTTTCCTCTTTTTCTTTTATTAGCAAAAGGACGAAGCTTCCAATATTATTGGTAGCTTTCCGTTGTATCTGCTTATTATATAATAATTAACAAGAGCTTATTCCACTGCTTAGGTTTCCTGGCCGTTTAGTTTCTTCCTGAACTTGATTTTGTGGCTATTTTAATGCTCCATCGTCACCTTCAAGGTCATATCTTGGCTAAAAGAATAGAAAATTAATGGCAAGTGATTTTCTAGATGAACGAAATTCTGGGATGATATGTCAATCTTCATGCCGAACACGGTATAAAGATGTTGAAAAATGACTTCTTAATAATTAATGCAGAAAGATGAAATTGTAAATGGTTTAATTAATGGTAAATATAAAGAAGTTTCTGAAAGAACTTGATTAACACTTGGCACCCAAATGCAACTAAATTGGACAGGGAAGGCAAGTTTATCACCTCATTTCTTGGTTTATCAAACAAACTAAATGAATAGTTTTGTTGTTGACAAATTCCAATTCTGAATATGATATATTCATGGAAAAATTCATAATTCTGGAGACTTCATCCCCAAGTCTCAAAACCATAGAAATGCTGAAGTCCTTGGCGACTTTCACGCCATAATATAGTTACCGGTCAAATCTGTAATCTTTTGGGATGACTTTGAACACCTAAGTTTTAATGATCTGTCTGTCACAGATGATTCTTCAACAAACAAAACAGTACGAAAAATTCTTTTCACATTTAGTCTACCATTCTCAAGGGGAATGATGCCAAAAAAAAAAAGAGATACTTCGGCTGTCAACCCTGCGAATATATGAAATTTTATCAAGTTACGCAAATGAATTGTACACAATTGCCCAGAGTCAAAAAAATGAGAATATGAACTGATTGGTCTGCACAGGCATTTGTAACAGTCGTTAACATGGTTGACATATGCACATTTCCAAATGCATCCAAGGCCTCGGGACGAGGTCACTGTGCATTTTGGTCGATGTCAATGATCATCACGATCAGCTCGAAACGGCAAGGAAAATGTGCAAATTGGATTCTCAAGGCTGGGGAGTCAGGTTTCTTGTCATCAAATCTGTAACCTGCAGAAAAAGCCAACATCCCACTGCCTATAAATAATTGACTGCTAATGCTGTAATACTAGTTTATAACGCATAATCAAAGATCGTGAGAAATTGATTCATGCTCGTTGTCAACTCACAATATATGCCACACCTGATATTGAAAACAATGATGCCAACAACGATAAAGTCAAGTAAATAGGCTTTAAACAAATTATAAATGCCTTGTATTTCCTCTAGTTGTTTCTCAAAACTCTCGTTTTCTTCTGCTGCATCATTATTCTTCTATCTGTACGTTCTATATTCAATTATTTTGTGCCTAGATTACCTTGAAGAGCTTGCATGGCAGTCATCGCACATTTTGAGTCATCAAACTCTAGGAAGCACAAAACCATGGCTATATCTCCACTCTGCAATTGACTTAATAGGTGAGGCAACTATAGAATACAGAGAACATAAATAAAACTAAATTAATCGAAAAATGGATGGAAGTATGTTTAACATCTAGGTATATTAAGCCATTTGTCCCTGACATTGCTCAAGAGCACTGCATTGAAACGTAAACACAAAACAAATGAATGGTAACTTGTCTAAGCCAACTTGGTGTTATTCTAATAGACTAAAGCATATCAAGAAGCTCTAGCAATAACTGGAAGCTAAATAGAAAGAAAAGATCAAGTAGTAAACTTACATGACTAGGTTCCTTGTGAATAACTTTGATCTCTTAGCATCCAGTAAATAGACAAAATTGATGTTAAGTGAAAGACTAAAATCACCAGAAAGCAATCAGAATTTTGGATATTCAGGCATAATAAAGTTTAATTTTGCATAATATTGTGAAGCACATGTCTTTTCTCTGCGACATTGCTAAAACCTTCTTGGGATGTTGAGAAATATATCCATACAAAAAGAATGCATGGAAAAAAAGGATACCACCTACTTCTCTTCTTGTACAGTCTGTTGGAATACCATCAACAAACAGAAATTTGATTATCCAGCCGCAACTGGGGGACCTTCAGCATTTCTCATGAAGGCAGGCTTTTCATCAACAGCATCAGGAATACCAGGCCTCATGCCTAGTGAACCATCCCGTCTTTGGCCAACTAAGTTTGGATCTTCTGGAGGAGATGGGTTACCCTTTATGCTAGTTCCAGCTGATACAGCACCAAGGGTGGGTTCAGGATTAAATCCAGCACTGCGACTAATGCCTACAGGAGAATCCCATCTTTGGCCAACTAAAGTGGAACTTCTAGTGGAGATGAATAACCCCTAATGGTAGCACCAGCAGATACAGCACCAAGGCTGGGTTCAGGATGAACTCCAGCCCTTGGGCTAATGCCAGGAGCATCCCGTCTATGACCAACTAAATTTGGAACTTCTACAGTAGATGAGTAACCCCTAATGGAAGCTCCAGCTGATACACCACCAAAACTAGGTTGGGTGAACTCCTGCACTTGAACTAACACCTACTGGAGCATCCCATCTTTGGGCAACTAAACTTGGATCTCCTAAAGAAGATGGGTAAGCCCTTACGGTAGCTCTGGCTGATAAACCACAAAGTTTGAGTTCGGATAAACTCGGGAATTGAAATATCATCCACATCATCTATCCCAGGCTGCAATTGATTTACCCGAATGAAAAGGCCAATTAAAGGAAGGTACATTCCCAGTTATACACCCCAAAGTTATTTAAGAAAATAATATAATACTAGAAATGCTTTACATCTACTCTTTTGAACATCTGAGGAAGCAACATGCATATCAGCATGATGAGATGCCAATGAGGGTGCTTCAAATGACAAGAAGCCAGGAAAGCTGGGCCTTGAAACACTACCTATTGCAATGAAAGGAAAAAAAAAATTAAACGATTTTAACTTGTTAAGATCAATTTGAAGCCAGGACATGGAAAGCATGAAAAATTACCAGAATATTCATGATTAAAAGATTCTAAACTGGGGAAAGCTTATTTTTCATCTACCATTATTTTCATTGTTAAGGTATGCCATGATAACTACCTCGGTGCAGGGCACCTTACAATCAAGCAAACCCCCCCCCCCCCCCCCCATCCACAAACTATAATTTTTGAAAAACCATCATTAGTTAAATTCAATAGGTAGCAAATTGGCAGACAATTTGCAGACAATGACCCAAAGGCAAAATTTTTAGAAGCAAACAAGTGAAATTCTGGAAAGCAAAAAAGAAGTAAAAATTATGGGTAAATAAAGACAAGAGTAAGCACCTCTGTCTGCTGCAGCAGCAGGGTATCTGTAGTAAGGATCCCCATATGTTTATGCAATTCTCTGTCCTTCAACTTGAAACTTGAAACTTGAAATCTGAAACTGAAACCCTTTTGCTTATTAGTTATTACTTCGGATACAAGTTCTGCATTGGCATATGAACTTTTTTCCCTTACAATTTGTTCCATCTTTCCTTGTTACAATTTGGGATTCAAGCTCCAATTCACACCTTTTCTTAGATGCATTTGGACCGACGGCCGCACTCGTCACCCCATCTTCTTAGGAAAAATGAGAGAGCAATAGTTTTCTAATCATTGTTTGCTGCGAATAAGCAACGAAATTAATTTCGATAATATTAAAAATAAAGATAGTGATAAAATTAATTACGACAGTAGTAAAATTAAAACTAATAATAAGATAAATATTTAGATGTAAATGTAATAATAACAATAAAAGAAAAAGTAATGAAAAGATAAACCGATCATTATAAATATTATATTAAAATTTATGTATAATAAAATTTTTAATATATTTTAATATTATAATTTAATATTAATTGAAATTTATTATAATACTAGTTTTTGGCACATGCGCGATGCACATGTGATTCTTATCTTTAAAATTTTATTTTAATAAATAATTTTTTATATTATGGTAATAATGATGAATACTAATAATTTAATTTTGATATTTATATAATATAAGTAATATTTGATAAATTTTTATATAATTTTGATTTTGATAACTTTTGATAAAATTTTGATAATTTTTTATACAATTTTGATAACTTATGATATAATTTTAGTAACTATTGATACAATTTTAATAATTTTTGATAAAATTTTAGTAATCTATTAATGTAATTTTAGTACTCTTTTAATAACTTATGATATATTAGAAATCTAATAAAATTATTATTAAAATTTGTATCATTATATATTTAACAATGTATTTCTATAAAAAAGTGATGGTTTAGTTCTAATATTAGATTTTTTTATACAATAACATTATTTTTTAATTTAAACTTAGAAATTTGTTCACTAATTTTTTTTATTGAGTAG